ATAGAAAAACACCAAAGAGATAATGATAAACCATGAAGGAACAAGGATGGCTAAGGATGGAGAAGATTAACACGGATTACAAACGACGAATTGAAAAATTGAGGCTAAACTTTTCAATATGCGCAAAAAGTGACGTAGCTCCTTTAAGTCAATAGAAAGTCCTATTACGGAAAGTTACAATTCCCGTGATTGCATCCAGGGTGACTCAGACACTGGCAGACAGGCAGTCCCCGTAAGTACGTTTTGTTTTGAAAGTGATGACACACGTATTTTTTCAACATTTTCAAACCACCAGAGAAAGAGGCGACGACCGTTACGGCCGGAGCGTAGGCAAAAAGCTATCGAAGTTATTTCCCTGAGATTTGCGTTTTTTTCCAAACTTTCTCACATTCATTTCTCGTTAATGAAATCAATTGTTCACGAATGATCTTCTTTGCCACTGCACCAAATGCGGACTCGTAAATCCTAATCTGGAAAAGGAATCCATCATGAGTATATATGGGCGTTAATACTCTACGGCAAGTTTTGCTCTTCTACATCAGGTAGCTGGTAAAGTAGGGGAACCTCAGTGAACTTGGTTGTGACAATGACGTCATATCTCGCCATTTTGGAAGTACGCATTCATTATTTTACGACTTTATCATCGGTTATGTGCTTTGCTCTCGACAAGAGCAAATCCACCCTTAAATTAGCTGGAGGGTGGAAAGGCATTTCAGTTAAGCTGATCTCAGGAGTACCAGAAACATACATGTACACGTATTTCAGACCTATTTTTTTTTTATATTGGAACGAGGACTCTTTTCAAGCAAAGAAATAAATCGAAATATAATGGGGGCGACCATTTAAACTATAGTTCTCAGACATGCCAGACAACTCATGTCATCTTCGTGTACGATGAAGGATTCGCTATTTTCTCTAGCCGGTCGGAGATCAATGCAAATTGACGGAAAATTGAAAAATTAAAAGAGACTTCACTGCAAGTTGAAATTTTATTGGAATTCTATCGAGTCATCAAACTGCACGAAGGGATTACATGTCCACCCTAAGCCGGGTAATCCATTATAGTGACAAGACTGTCACATACGGCTGTAAATGCTGGTTATTCGCATACGTCTAGCTATTTCATGGGATCCCTTGAGGCGGTGATGACGAGATAGAATGAGACAGAATATTTTTTGAGTTAACGAGTTGAGAATCCAGAGTTGTTGAAGAGTGAATTGAATGCATTATGTCAGAGGAAACTATCTGGACCAAATAAATTTTCAAACAACGGCTGGGTTTACCAATACTAATCAATGATGTTTAATTTGCTCTAGCAATTTTGCAATTAACTGAAGGTTATATATAGACAAGAGATTATAATCTCTCTTGATATAGGCAATAATTAATTAATGATGTTTAATTTGCTCGAGCAATTTTGCAATTAATTGAAAGTTATATAATAGACAAGAGATTATAATCTCTCTTAATATAGATAACTAAAAGAATGCCCATCGCCAAAGTGATTTTCTATGAACAAAACGTAAATACTGTCTGTTAACGCTAACGATGTCTGTAAACTAGCTTGTTATTGACATTCCTTATTTTAAAAGTATTCTGATTCAATAGTTAGCATTTTGTAAGTTGATTAGGATACAACTGATGACTATAGTTTTTTGAATACATGCACCAATAGTTGAGTCTTGAAACGTATTTTTTTGAGAATGCTTTTAGCTTTTTCTCTTGACGATTCGCTTATGCATGACAATGGCAACGACACAAAAAGCACTATTAGCATTGCATCTCTAGATCTTAGGATTGACTGGTTAAACACGTTTCTACTGAAGTCAAAACTTCACTTGAGAGAAATCAAAAAAGAAAACAAGCAGAGCTGAAGGAAAGCAGTGCTCGGTTGATTTCAGTTGACTATATGTTTACATAAACCTTAAAAGTTACACGCTTGGTACATGAAAGAAATTTTGACTTGAAAGTTAGTGAGAGGCGTGCGTAACAGAAACGAAGAATGTCCTCTAATCAGGTTATAAAAAAAAATTACTCCGGCAAATTAAATTTGCAAGGAATCGTTAGCCTAAAGTTTTCATCTTCACTTTCTAATTGGGTTCCTGTACAATGATGGTGTGGTGGTCCTTAAATCCTCTATCAAGCCCCACCTCCCACTCCCTCCGAATGAAGCTTACTTATCTCGAGCGCTTGTNGGGGGGGGGGGGGGGGGGGGGAGACGGAGGGGTGCTTAATAGAGGGAGGCTTTTTAATTTTAATTCACAGCTAGAAGCTACCAGGTTAAATGATCCGTTTGACACTTTTCTTTTCCTACATCTCTCTGTAACAGCCCTAGCGAAACGTGGATGTTCACCAAATTTTTACAAGAACTCTACCAGTGCAGACAAAAATCCGACCGATTGATCCAATGTCCAAAATTATATGATTTTTCAAATATTATGACACATGCTATTTTTACAAAAAAAAGGAAGAAAAAAATGAGTGGCGTTCTCTCTAGCCGTGTAAGCTACGTTTTGTAATAACGAAGCGCGCGCAGTCTAAAAATAGAATGCAAATTACTGGAACCCCGCGAAACTCAGACAACATAAGCGTGTTCTGAGAGAAGTAGGAGGAAAATGAACGCCAAATTTTCGTTTTAAAACTTGTTTTAGGAACACTTGCTTACGCGCTTGAAAAAGCGTCAAACCTTCCACCATTCCGTTTTCTTTGCTCAGTTTGTCTGAGTTTCGCTATCGCAAATTACAAACACGCGCTTTGCTATTGCAAATTACAAGCACGCGCAATTGGCCACTTTCGATATATTAAAATTCATCTTGATAGTGAGGCATAGAGGACACAAACAAAAGAAATTAATAAACACGGTTATTCAATTTCCTTTGTTTGTGTCCTCGACACCTCGCTGCCAAGCTGAATTTTAATATGTCGAAAGTGGTCTATTAACGATTTGGCGCCACTAAGACTCTCAAAGATTGACGATTAATAACTGCCTATTTTATGGTCACAGCAGGCGATTCTATACTGTTTTTGTTGATAGACGCCATACAGCACCCAAACCAATTTTCGTAAATTTTCAATAACAATGATATGGCTCAATAATTTGTTATAACATATAAACAATATTGCACCTGGCCGCACTGAATCAATTAATTAAGATTCAAGCTTAGTATATCAAGTCTCCATGGTTCTTATCTCATATACTTCTGTAAATTTCAGTCTTACAAATCTGTTTGTAGATCAAGTTTCCTAGATGATAATGACTATTTCTGCAGTCCATTTGATGATAACGTTCTGATGTCTGAATGTTAATTGTTACACAAAATTTTGATGAGATCCAAAAGCCACATTAAAACTTAAAAGCGGTCCATTTAATATTAGCATGCCTTCTTTTCCCTGTGAGATGAGTGTTTGCGCCTTGTATCGCTATGGTCAAACTCAGAATTAAAATATAACCTGAAACTTTGATCTTCGGAGTAACTGATCCATCTCTGTCTTCGCGTCCGTTAACCTTCTTACTAATTAATGCGTTCTTGCAATTGCGATGTATCCTTAGCTTTCGGCTTTCGTAAGATTCAATATGTTACCAAACTTTTTGCTCAAATTAAGCTTTTTGTTTTTAGTCTCTTTTCATTCTCGCACCGTCTTTACTTCCTAAAAACGAGTTGCAATTGCTATTATTTGTGGAGTACTATTTTGCAGAACCAGTCTATCCTTCACGGCTTTTACGAGGCTTTAAATCACTTCAAACTGATCTCAGCAATAGCGATAACTCTAGCTTCAGGGTTCTCGAAACGTTTGCAACCAAGTGACGCAAGGGAGCGTTTCACTGCCGCGCGAATCTCACCAAGACGCCAACAGTAGACTATTGGATTCAGTGAAGAGTTTAGAAAAATAAGGGTTTGAGCATATTCCGTTGCCAGTATAGTGAAAGTATTTGTCTTGTACATATCTCGAAGAATGAGAAAAACGAAATATGGAACATAACAAAGGAAGTGAACGAAACAGACGTAAAACATACCAATTGCAGATTTGGCAAACGGTTTGGTGTTCCCGAAATTTCGTGTCTTCTGACTTTGCTGACCTTGAATTCTTCTCTGGTGTTGCCTAACAACCGTGAAAATCCTGACATAGATACCAAACGTGCCGCAAAGGCAAACGACTATAACAGAAGCAACGAGGAAGAATGTTATACTCGGCTTCCAAATAAGGGTTGAAGCGACGAACGCTGCAGTGATCCACAAAACGACAAGGAGTAGACCCATTCCGCGCAAAGTGACAAGTTCGCGGTAGCGTAAATGAAGATGGATAGCGATATATCTGTCGACGCTTACAGCAGTCGTGGTGAGAAAGGAGACACCACAAACCAGATTGGAAAGGAAATTATATACTTTCATGGTTGCTAGCCATGTTTGCAGATGATTTGAGAGGTAAAACGATTGATAGATGATGTAGAAAGGTTGCACAGTTATTCCAACACTGAAGTCGCATACAGCAAGCCCAAGTAATAATATATTGGACGGCGAATGTAGAGAAGGAGTTTTCCATATGGAGTAAATAACAACCATATTCCCTAATATCGCAATCAGAGACAGCGGCGCATTTAATGCGCAGTTGATAATTAACGGCACGTATCTTTCTCCGACATATTCTTCACTGCTTTGGGATTCTGAGTTTGAACTAGTAACATTGTTGGTGTAGTTTTCATTTGGTAAAAAGCTTACTGAAGACATGTTTTACCTTGGTTCAAAACATTCTCATTAAAACATCCGCATCCGTTAAAATATTTAATATGTCTTTCAGTATGCATGGTTTTTATAAGCTTAATCTAAATGATTAAAACTTTTACGAGTATTTCGAGTGCTGTGTATTCATTATTTCCAGTGGATGTTTAGATGCATCTGTCAAAACAATAGAAGGTATTATTTCCTGTCCTTTATGAAAGAGCCTTTTTCTGCAATTAAGATAAAAATAGAAAGCCTAGATTAAACACATGCAATCTACTTCAAACTAAAGCATATCTACAATGTTTATGGCGTCTTTTTTCCCAATTAAAGGCTATCTTAAAGAACTTGGTCAAAAACGTTGCAAAAATTCTTCAACAAATTAGCAATGCTTCGTCATTAAACTTGCTTTTCACTGTCGCAATTAAAACAAGTATAATATTATTCACATATATACTGTCATTAAAGCATGATTTTTGCTAGAGGCATTTTAGAGCTTACCTGACAAATTTAATTCATTTACAAGATCGCTAAGATCCTTTCCTTTCAGGACTGAAATCCTCGTTTTGAGAGGGGGCGGAGTCCCAATATCTCTCTTCCGTGACTTAACGATATGTAAGCAATGATAATGAAACTCAGAGAATATATATAAGTTTAACTAAAAATGTTTCCTGATGACGTCACAACGTGGGATAATCGCGTGATATCACTGACTCATCTTGGATTACTATTAAATCTTGGATATCACCCATCTTCGATTACTTGATTTTTCGAAAACGTCAGAAAACCATCAAATGACGCTGAACTTATCAAAATTAATAGAACAAAGCTAAAAAGTCCTAGGAATGTAAATCTAATTGAATGAAATTTAAGAAAATTCCAAAAACATTCCTGTTAAACATTCCTGTTAAAATAAGACTGCCATACTACGAGCACAATGACATGCGTAAATAAAACAAATATATTAAAAACTGGATCATTATACAATGCAATTCAAAAGTTTTCATTGGCTTAGCCATCTTGGTATATGAGCTATTATGACATGCTCCACAAAAATGGTAAGCGTACGTGTAACTTTTTGGGGCGTTTTCTCATTTTTATTTTATTTTGTTTTCTATGTTTTGGAGGCGTTTTTAATAAACAATTATTCCACCTGCGCTTGTTGGATATGAGATTGTAGTCAAATCGGTGCTACGCGCCTCGTTGGCTATCTACCATCTCATATCCAACAAGGGCTACTGAAATAATTGTAAATTATACCCTGATAAGCTGCTGATAACGTCGCCCAGTCAGCGCTTGCACCTTCCCCCTTTCCCCAATCTAGAGAGGTTTTATAGTTTGAGAGCAAGTCTGGAGATAAGCCCTAGTACGTGGCCTTTCAAGTTAATGCCTGATTGAGCGGTATTTTAATGCAAAATCTTTATTTATAATGTTTTGAGATGTGCTCAGTTTTAATGTTTTTGTCAGTAGATTTAATTCTAGTTCATCGCGTTCAATAATCTTTGTTCATCTCTTCTCATCCTCGCATTTCTGAGATATTGTCAAAAGTTTGTGATCGAGTTTGAGGTTCAGAAAGCGCATGCTTAAATCAAGAACACCGTTCCCAAAGACAGGAGAGATGTTCAATAAATACTCAGCCCTTCTGACAGTGACAAATGTATGCGGTTGCCGTGGTTATTGTTGTTTTTGTTGCTGTTACCCTCTTATAGCCAGTGCATTGTTTATTAACTCGAGAGTATGGTTCGACAAACTGGCTAGGGCATATTAGTTTGTGAACTACAACTGGCCATCATTTATGTCTTAAGAGCAGATTGCGGATTAAAATATAAATTAAACACAGACTTCTGAGACTGTTTTCACAAAAAGCGAATTGACAGTCCACACTGAATTTAATTTTAGTCTCTTACAAGGCTGAGCTAATAGCATTTATGTACAAATTACAATTCTAAATTCAATTTAAATTTCCAATCAATCAAATTCGTCGAGTAGTAAATCAAATGAGTTACATATTCGTTAATGTATTCCATACAACCGCACCAGGCGCGGCGTTTTTCCATTATGCAGTAGTTTGCATGATATTGAACTTTTCTTGTCGGTGATTTTAATCGAAAAATTTCTTGTAAACTATCATAGGGTGATAAATGCAATTCTCACAGGTTATTTTTTTACATTTGAAAGCCACTTCAAGAAGTGACAGCTTGAGTAATGTGGGAGTCGCAGTCTAAATATAATAGCTTTCACCCAAGTCACTTTATGATTGCATGTGTTGACCATTGCTTGTTATTATGTCAATACTACCTCCTTGGCCTCTGGAGTAATGAGACTTTAACTTATGAATATATGTATGCGGCATAATAGGCTATGGTTGTTTTCGAACTTTCTGAACTAAAAATATAATTCGGTATGCAAGAACAAAGTTTTTAACAAATAATAAGACACTAGTTGTATACAGAAGAAAATGGAACAAAAAAAAAGAAGAAAAAAAGATTTATACCAAAAAAAAAAAGAAAAAAAAATATACATAACGAAATATACATAAAAAACCCGAGCGAGATTAAGTACATAACACATTTCAAGTTTCCCATACATGTTTGCTATTGACACTCGGAAAGGAAATAAGAAATCACTTTTAATTAACCATACATTCTGGCATGTAAAACTAATGCGACCACCTTTCAGACGCCAATGATTAAATAGGCAATCAACACACACCTTGTTTGAACTACTCGTCTATTCGCATTTCGATGGCCTTAAGGGACCGTTCATTTTTTATGAGGTAGGGGGGG